AATTGTTGCAGTCATTTCTGGAGGTCTTGATTCAAAGCTTGTCATATGGGACTTTTCAAAAGGGCGGTCATCCAAAGTTTTCGATTTTGGTATGCTAGCCGTTGTACACCTTATTTTGATTTTTCATATATCAATAATTCATGGTAGAATGGAAAACAAAGATTTAGATAGGTGCTTGAGAATTTTTTCCATGACATTTGACATAGAATATTACCATCTTATGTTGTTATTGTTGTCTGATACTGTTCTTTCCATGCATGAACATGTTAGCATGCGTTCATTTTGTTTGTATCTGGGTTAGAATCAATTTCTGCATTCATTGTCTGCTACTTGGAAGAGTTCTTTTTTGCAGGTGGTTGTTTCCCATTGAAAAACTGATCTTCCGAGAGCTCTTCAAATTTATGGAACCCTCATCTCTTTAACTTTGTAGAATATCATAAACTATAAACTTGAATTGTCCATTTCATTAATGGTGTTTTGATTCATATATTTTTGGAAGATATAATGTTAAACTGTCTGAATCTTCCTGTACTGATTCACTACCCTGTCCTTGCTCCTTTCCATCACTGCAGGCTTGCCTGACATAAATGGCAGTAGCAATGCTGGTCAGTGTTTCAATCCTGCTTTTGTTCATGCAATGACAGTTCCAGATGTTGATATGCTGGGAAGATTGGAGAAGATATGTGTTGTAGCCAGAGGTGATGGTGTCATCAATGTGATTAACATTGAATCTGAACCTGCTACTACTAGGTCAAGAAGTTCCTCAAAACCTCAAAAAGGAAATCAGTCAGTGTCAAAGGGTAGTCTTCCAGCTGATAATGGGGATCAAAATGGAAGAAAAGTGTTGCATTTGGATTATTCCATGGGCGGTCATACTGCTGCTGCATCTTGTGTAGCTTTTTCAATGTTTGGGGAGAAGGGGAAATTCATAATATCTGGTGGGAACGATAAGTCAGTCAAGGTATGGGATTCCTCCAGGTGTCTTCATTCTGGGGACAATAATAGTAACAATGACCTCCTACATCTGAGCATAGATTTGAGAAAGAAGGTGAGTTTTGGTTGCATCTTTTCCCTATGGTCTAGTTTTTCTTGTCATCTATATTTGGAAACAATGTTATGCAATCCAGACCACACCAAACTGCACAACACTAACCATTAGATGGTAGGTGAGCCTTCCATCCAATGGCCCTTATTTTGCAGTTTGCAGTCCAGACTGCAAAACATTGGACTCTTTCTATTTAAAGCTCTTCATCTTGACCTTTCTTTTGTTAGGTTAATTGGCTCTGTACCACACCAACTGAAAGCGAGAATCTTGTCGTTTGTGACACAAGTAAAGTTGTAAAAGTCTACTCCATTTCCTAGATCAAAGCTCTGCGACCGTTTTTGCTGGTAATCAATTTCCCGGAAGACCTTGGCCCAATTTTTGTGCTTGTTTTGGAGTATACGTTTTAATCTGAAGTCAGCTTGGCCCAAGTACCAGCTTTGTGCAACTATGAACCCTCATTTCACTTTCTCTAATTCTAGAGTAGACAAGTTTTTAATAGTCTGGCCGAACGGGTTAGTGTGACTGGTTTACTGGTGGGATTCTTTAAATGAATCTAAGATTGGAATAGTTGTTTGTTTTTGTAATATGAAACTTGAAGCTATTGATGGTCATGGAACTTTCTATAAGAAGAACGAGTAGAAGGGTTCCAGAATCACTATAGAGATGTAAGTATTTTTATATTTATAAAGTTTGTACCAATACCAACTCTCCAAGTTTATAACTGCCTTATTGCTTACAATGTTTCCCACAATGTTTGAAAAATTGTAATTTTTTTTTTTGGCAGTCTAATTGACATTTTCAAGAAGATTTTTTTTTTTTTTTTTTTGGCAGTCTAATTGACATTTTCAAGAAGATAAATTTATTGAATGTTAGTTAATAAATTTTAGTTACATGCTTGAATGTTAATTAATAAAAAAGGTAAGGTGCATATTTTCTCTGCTAAGACAATTGTCTGCAATTCAAGGTTGGTTAGTTAAAAGATGTGCTTTGCGCAACCGAAACCTTCCTTCAACTTCCCGCAAAAATTTCAATTCTTTTCTCCTCAACCCCAAGAGAATTCACAGACGTTGCTTCTCACCTCTCCCTCTGCACATCCATGACACCAACAACCCAACCGCCATACCCCACCAACCACCTTCCTCAGCCTCTCTTCACCATTACACAAATGCTTAGTATATTCCGTATAAAACCACCAAAAACAACACAGGGGTTGTGTAACAGAGGGTGACCCAGAATTCTTTGCTGGTACTGTAGTATTGGGTTTTTGAGGGGAAAAAGAAAGGAGGTTTCAGGATGATGGAATCTGGGGCTCCAACTTGCCACACCTGTGGTGAACAGGTGGGGTTGAATGCCAATGGGGAACCCTTCGTGGCTTGCCATGAGTGTAATTTCCCCATTTGCAAGCCTTGTTTTGAGTACGAGCTTAAGGAGGGCAAGAAAAATTGTTTGCGCTGTGGGGTTCCTTATGATGGTATTCTTTTTTATTGCCCTGATGTTTTCTAATTGGAAGTTTTTGGAATATTCAATTGGCTTTTGATAAGTGTTTGTGTTAAAAAAATGGTTTTGATTCTTGGTTTTGAGCATATGGATAACTTAATTAGTACTGCTTTTGTGAGTGATTTTATGTTGCTTGCATGCACATGGCAACAGATCTACAATGGAAAATGACTTTCTTAATCTGATTTCATAAATGTAAAATTTTCAGAGAACTTGCTGGATGAAGTAGAGACAAAGGCACCTGGCAACAGATCTACAATGGCTGGTCATCTTAATAATTCTCAGGTACAGTTGCTTCTGCAAGGTTCTACAATATCCATAATGTCTGTATTAAAGCAACACAAGTTATGTATTCCTTAAGTTTGAGGAAATGAGATGAAAACTTGAATCTTGTGCAAAATGTATCTTACTAAGCACTCATTATCTTTTGTCTGGACTTACTAATACAGGATCTGGGAATTCATGCAAGACATGTCAGCAGCGTGTCTACAGTGGATAGTGGTAAGCATTGTTGATTTCTTCCTCCATAGCATTGGTCATTTTGCCTCGACTTCTTGAATATTCTTGCTAATAGTCTGTGTTTTTTTTGAAGAATTAAATGATGACTCAGGCAATCCAATTTGGAAGAATAGGGTGGAAAGTTGGAAAGAGAAGAAGAACAAGAAGAAATCCACCACTAAAACAAAGGCTGAGAAAGAGGCTGAAGTTCCACCTGAGCAGCAGATGGAAGAGAAACCGTAAGTATAGGGAAAACTTAAAAACTTTCAAGTTACTGCCAAAAATCAAAAGAGCCAGTAGAACATAAATTGGTCTTGAAAAGTAACAGGAAAAGAAAATTGTTATGAGACCTTTGTTTCAAGTCGCTGAAATTTAATGTTTGCCTTCTCAGGACGCCAGATGCTGAAGAGCCCCTTTCAACTGTGGTTCCAGTTCCAAAGAGCAGGATCAGGCCGTACAGAATCGTGATCGTTATGCGACTGATTATTCTGGCATTTTTCTTCCATTATCGAGTTACAAATCCTGTTGACAGTGCTTTTGGTTTGTGGCTCACCTCTGTCATATGTGAGATATGGTTTGCTTTCTCATGGGTGCTGGATCAGTTTCCCAAATGGTCTCCTGTTAGTAGGGAAACATATATTGACAGGCTAGCTGCAAGGTACAAATCTCTTTGTCTTTATTTTATTGCAGTGTTAATGAGTTCAAAAGATCTTGAGAAACTGGTATTTAGTTATTTTAACTGTTTCAATATCATAAGCTTGAAAACTTAACCTTTTTTCCTATTTTTCCAAAAATCTATTTTTCCTATTAATTCAAACATTTATCACTAAAATCTGGCTCCTAATAGTCAAATAAAAAGAAGGTTTTTATCTTGAATTTGTCACTGAGAGGGTTGTTTCACTGCCATGGAAGGTATGAAAGAGAAGGTGAACCTTCTGAGCTAGCTGGTGTGGACTTTTTTGTGAGTACAGTTGATCCACTGAAAGAACCCCCCTTGATCACTGCCAATACTGTGCTTTCAATCCTTGCCTTGGACTATCCTGTGGATAAGGTCTCCTGCTATGTATCCGATGATGGTGCTGCCATGCTTACATTCGAAAGTCTAGTTGAAACAGCTGATTTTGCAAGGAAATGGGTGCCGTTCTGCAAGAAGTTTTCCATTGAACCAAGGGCACCTGAGTTTTACTTCTCACAGAAGATTGATTACTTGAAGGATAAAATTCAGCCCTCTTTTGTGAAAGAACGTAGAGCAATGAAGGTAAGCACTCAAACCTTTATCTAGCTATAAGTTTTGACTAATCACGTTTCTTTAATATTGAAGCAGGTATCAACCATCTCATAAATTTCTTTCAATTTGGTTGCAGAGAGATTATGAAGAGTTTAAAGTTAGAATTAATGCTTTGGTAGCAAGGGCTCAGAAAACACCCGAAGAAGGATGGACCATGCAAGATGGAACACCTTGGCCAGGGAATAACACGCGTGACCATCCTGGCATGATTCAGGTGAACATTTATCTTTGAACTTATTCATTGGTTATTTTAGTGTTAGCATAAAGATTTTTCTGTTGCAATGCTGTCTGATTTTCAGAATGTATAAATGACACTTACTTTTAAAACTCATATTTATCTAATTAGGCAGGTTAATGACTGAAAGCCCTACATTAATCCTGTAAAAGATTAGACACCAAAACAACTGGATATACATCTGGATAAGAGACCCTCGTCACTCAGACATTTAATTAACTCAAGAATTGAGCTTTTGAACTTATTAAACATGGGGCTCCTATGTTTTCCTTTTTCAGGTTTTCCTTGGACGTAGTGGTGCTTGTGATGCAGAGGGTAATGAGCTCCCACGACTGGTTTATGTTTCCAGAGAGAAGAGACCTGGTTACCCACACCACAAAAAGGCTGGTGCTGAAAATGCTTTGGTATGAATAGATAGGCTAGGATTAATTAGCATAATTGACATGAATACTCAGATTTCCATTTGGAACTTACAACGAATGCCTACATGTAGGTGAGGGTTTCTGCAGTTCTCACAAATGCTCCTTACATTCTCAATCTTGACTGTGACCACTATGTTAACAATAGCAAGGCAGTCCGAGAGGCAATGTGCTTCATGATGGATCCACAAGTTGGTAGAGATGTATGCTATGTGCAGTTTCCTCAGAGGTTTGATGGCATAGATCGGAGTGATCGATATGCAAACCGTAACATTGTTTTCTTCGATGTAAGATTAAAGATAAACTAGCATTCCCATTGGTTTAAGTAGTTTTCTGTAGCTATTTTCTGAAAACATGCAAGTTCTTCACTTGAGTTCATTTTCAGTGAAACTAGCCTAAATATGGCCCTAATGTCTAATTTTCCAAGATAAACCACTTTATGAAATCTGCCTTCAGTTCTAACAATTCTTTAAATTCCAATTTCAGGTTAACATGAAGGGCCTGGATGGCATTCAAGGACCAGTTTATGTAGGAACAGGTTGTGTTTTCAACAGGCAAGCACTTTATGGCTATGGACCTCCTTCCATGCCTAAGTTAACCAAATCTTCCTCATCCTGCTCGTGGTGTGGTTGCTGCTCATGCTGTTGCCCCACCAAGAAGCCCTCTAAAGATCCGGAAGAGCTTTACCGTGATGCCAAACGAGAAGAGCTCGATGCTGCTATCTTCAACCTCAAGGAGATTGAAAGTATGTCAATCTCTGTGGAAATCTAAGATAAGTATTTAACATAATTATTCAATGATTAACATATCTATTGTCTTGCTTTTGCAGATTATGATGATTATGAAAGGTCAATGCTGATTTCCCAGATGAGCTTTGAGAAAACTTTTGGCATATCATCTGTCTTCATTGAGTCCACATTAATGGAGAATGGAGGAGTGCCTGAATCTGTCAATCCTTCAACTCTAATCAAGGAAGCAATCCATGTCATTGGCTGTAGTTATGAAGAGAAGACTGAATGGGGAAAAGAGGTGAGAAATTTTCCTTTTTTCTGTTCCTATATAACATATTCAATGCAATTGTCATAATTTTAGTGCATATGGAATTGAAAAACCCCAAACTTATTACAATCTATAGGCAGAACTAAGAGTCCATTTATGTTCTCAGATTGGTTGGATTTATGGCTCAGTCACTGAAGATATCTTAACTGGATTCAAAATGCACTGCCGAGGATGGAGGTCCCTCTACTGCATGCCCTTAAGGCCTGCATTCAAAGGATCCGCACCCATCAATCTGTCTGATAGGTTGCACCAGGTTCTTCGGTGGGCTCTTGGGTCTGTGGAGATTTTCCTTAGCAGACACTGCCCTCTCTGGTATGGATTTGGAGGTGGCCGCCTTAAATGGCTCCAAAGACTGGCATACGTAAATACAATTGTCTACCCATTTACATCCCTTCCTCTGGTTGCTTACTGCGCCCTGCCAGCAATTTGCCTTCTGACAGGAAAATTTATCATTCCAACTGTAAGTTGTTCAATATCCTTAATTGAATTTATTAGTATCAAAATGAAAACCCTGGTAGTTCATAGTTCCCGTAGTCAAATTAATCCTCGAAATTGTGTCTTTCTTGCTTCAGCTCTCAAACCTGGCAAGTGTTCTCTTTCTTGGCCTCTTTCTCTCCATCATTTTAACTAGTGTGCTTGAGCTCCGGTGGAGTGGTGTCAGCATCGAAGACTTGTGGCGTAACGAGCAATTTTGGGTCATTGGAGGTGTCTCGGCCCATCTCTTTGCCGTCTTCCAAGGATTCCTTAAGATGTTAGCAGGCATTGATACCAACTTCACTGTCACTGCGAAAGCAACTGATGATACTGAGTTTGGAGAGCTCTACATCATTAAATGGACAACACTCTTGATCCCCCCAACAACACTTCTCATTGTCAACTTGGTTGGTGTTGTTGCTGGATTCTCTGATGCACTAAACAAAGGATATGAAGCCTGGGGGCCACTCTTCGGCAAGGTTTTCTTTGCCTTCTGGGTGATCCTCCATCTCTATCCATTCCTCAAAGGTCTCATGGGTCGCCAAAATAGAACCCCAACCATTGTCGTTCTCTGGTCAGTGCTGTTGGCCTCTGTCTTCTCTCTTGTCTGGGTCAGGGTTAACCCATTCGTCAACAAAACCGACGGTACAAACGTTGTCCAGAGCTGCATCTCCATAGATTGCTGAGTTCGCCATGGAAAAAAAAAGCTCACCATACTTTTGAATCAAAAATCATGATTACCAGAACATACAATGTGGTTTTAGAAATTCAGTGTGGAAGATTTATGCATTTCTTAAGCACTATGAATGCAAAAAGATTGTATTTTTGTCCTCTATAATGTTGAAAACGTGTAAAAGAAATACAGAAAGGATTGGTTGTTGAATTTTCCTATGATATGTTTCGAGTTCCATCATTTTCCATTGGAATTTCTGTAGTGATATTGAGTGATGGTAATGATAGAAGTCCGAAGTCGCGTACCTCGGACGAGCTAAACTATTCCAAACAACCTCGAGTTGCCTTGACTCTACTTCGGAGCTTAATGAGTTTAGTTGACTTTACATTCGTCCCCTCTAATCTCACTCTGTAATAATTCCGTACATACCTAAATTTGTTAAGAGAGATTTCTGCGATAATTGACACACATAATCTCAATTTTTTGTAAAAATAAACACATAGACACTTTTTTAAAGGCTATAAATACCCTCCAAAAATCCTCCACTAAAAGTGATTGAAACTAATCTTGAATTTTCTTTTGCTTTTTTTTCTAACAAACTTAATTATTGTTAACTTAATTATTGTTAACTTAAATATCGAAGTATTTATCCAAAAACAAACCTTGAAACTTTACAAGTTAATCAAAGAGCAGATTTGAGCTAAAGAAGGATTCAGAGTTCTTTGCAACTACAATTTCCTTGCATACTCTCGTGTTCTTTTAATTGTTAAAGGGATAATCTACTTCACCTTCTCCTGTATTCTCACAAGCCACACAGTTTCCCTCTATCAGATTCGATAAAACCGTTGCGGGTAAGAAACATTTTTCCGAACGTTGAGGAAAAAAAAACCATTACATTATCTCAACAACAATAATGTCATGATAATTAAAATTATAAAATATTATTATTAAAAATACTAATTTAATTTAACTTAATTTATAAAAATAATTATTAATTATTAATTATTATTTTAAAATACTATTTAAGAGAAATTAAAATTTTAGTCACATTAGCAAATATTAACAGTGGCGACAACAACCCCTCAATTTCTAGTGGGAAGGTTGGTATCCTGTCCCTTTCCTTGTATTTGATAAAGGCAGGGGTGTCTACTGGATTTGGCCCCTGTAAATGCCTTTTTCATTTAGGAGATAAATAGTACATAAGTTTTTTTTTTCTTTTAAGTAGTAATTATATTATTAATTTTAGTATCTGTTTTTTTTATAAAAAAAAAAATTGTTAATCCAGGGATTCACAGGTTAAACTTCTAAGGGGTGTCTTCATTTTACTTCTCTTTGAGAAACAAGGCCACTGGGCCACACAGATGAATGGCAAATAGTATAGAGGTTGGATTTTAGAGACTCCAAACCTAACCTAGCCCCAACGGTAACATGACTACCTGTCCCCAAATATTAACGTTTGTCCCTTCACTAAATTTCTGGCACTCCGTGTTTGGTTGTGGATTCTCTTATAGATTTACTTTTATGTTTTATATATTAATATTATAATAAAGAAAAAATAAAAATAGTATATTTAATATTTTTTATATAATTTTTAATTAATATATTTTTTCTCACTTTTTTTTAAAAAAAGTTATTTACCTTAATTAGTTTCTCATCAAATACAAAATAATAATAATAATAATTTAAAAAAATTAATAAAATTTTATTAAAATATCTTTTAACTTTTAATACAATGTTTTTCCCTTTTTTTTCAATAAAAAAATTTTGAAGCAAAATTAGCTATAGAATCAATAGGCCTTGGTATTTTTCTCACCCATTTACAGAACAGATATCCCTAGTCCCTACCCAACATTTGACCTTAACCAGTAGGCCCTAGCTCAATACCCAATGTTTTCCCTGAAAATTTTGATGATTTCTTGTTAGGCACGGTGTTCGTATTTCTTCCCGTGCCAGTTTGGTTATACAATGAAAACGTAATAAAGAGGAAACCAAAGATTTCAAAGCATACATAATGTAGTGTACCTACAAAGTAAAGAATCAATGACTCCTTTTTTTTCTCTTTTTTTTTTTTTGAATTGAGCAAAATTGAGACAATTAAAAAAAATGAAAATAAAAAAAAAATTAAAACTCGATAATGTACATAAAACACTCATATAATAATCATATAAGTTATGAATTAAGGTTCATTTTAAAAAAAAATTAAAGAAACTAACATTAAAATAAAATAATAGTGTTATCCCAAAAACAAATCGGTACAACAAGTTCTTGGGTACTCAACCCCACTTAGGTCAGCATAAAGATACATAGTAATATCATTAGGACAAGTTTCAAAGAGACCAAAATGGGATGAAGTAGCATGAACTATAGCAACGAACTTGTCAGCGCACATCTTAACCTCCTTGAAAACATGGTGAAGATGAACTTAGGGAATTTTGGCCAAAATTTTTCAAAAATCTAAGACCAAAGAAAATAAAAAATGATTAACAGTCTTTTAAAATAAGCTGATGTATAACAAGTGAATCTATTTCAACAATCAAATTATGAATACCATGATAGAGGACAAGTAGGAGTCCATCTCAATAATCAATGATTCAATGCCTCCTGTGTAATTGTCACAGGTAGATTTCTAACAAAAAATGAGTGAAGGAATTAAATTTCTCACACCCAACAGAAAATAATTTTTCTTTTCCTATAATTCTTGTTGAATAATTCATAAATGTTAACAACCTATATTAAAAAAATAGAAATTTAAAAGAATTTATAAAAA